GTCATAAAAGACAGTCTAGCTTCCTTGCTCACTTCCTTCGAATATTTGTTCTAGAAGCTAGCTAGGCATGTCTTGAGAATACTTAGGTAACCCAGAAGAGAGGCTCATATGGAAGTATGAGGTTTTCTCCCAACAGTGAGCAAGGAATTGGGAGTTTCCTGTCAATAGCCATGTGAGTAAGCCATCTGGGAAGCAAATCTTCCAGTCTCATTCAGGTCTTCAGATGACTGCAACCTCATGGAACACCCACAACATGTAATTTCCAGAACAACCCAACTAACTTGCTCCTGGATTTCCAACTCTCACAGTGGAAGAGTAAAAAAAATAAAAAATTAAGCTGTTAGTTTTGTGATATAGTTTGTTATACAGGAATAGACAATGAATATATCCCCAAATTTGGGCTCTGCCTTCAGTCCAGTTTTGACAAGAATCTTGCTGGGTCCGTTTATAGAAAATTCCCCACCATTGATATCTGATCACCCTTGATATCTGATCAAATTTCTTATTCTCTACTCTCAACATCATGAATAATTTTTCTTCAACATTTCCAAGTTTTATTATTAGGAATTTCTTTCAAATGAGTATTTTCATGCTTTTACCTTTTATACTATATTCATTTTGGGGGAACAGATTTCTAGAATTAAAAGTTCATTATTTTTATCATATCCTTTTTTAATACCCCATGTAGTGATTTGAAAAGGATGTATACAAAGTCATTTAGTATGTACCCACACCCATACCCTAAAAGTTCCAAGGAAAACTTAATTCACAGTAAACTATAAATTTAAGACTAAAACATTCAGTCTGCAAATTCTCACGCCTTTGGAATTAACTTACCAAAAAAGGTATACAGAATGAAAACTTTAATAAAAATGAAAGTATGCATGAAAATATTTAAGACTCAAAGCTGTAAACAAAGGTAGGCAAAGTTTAAATCCTTTATTAAACAAAAATAAAGCTGTTAAAGTGTCTTTATAAAAAAAAAGAAGAATCCTAAAGAAAATAGAGGTGTTTAATGAATCAAGACAAAAATAGGGAGGGGCGCCTGGGTGGCTCAGTCGGTTAAGCGTCCGACTTTGACTCAGGTCACGATCTTGCGGTCCATGAGTTCGAGCCCCGCATCGGGCTCTGGGCTGATGGCTCGGAGCCTAGAGCCTGCTTCTGATTCTGTGTCTCCCTCTCTCTCTGACCCTCCCCCATTCATGCTCTGTCTCTGTCTCAAAAATAAATAAACGTTTAAAAAAATTTAAAAAAAAAATAGGGAACAAAAAAAAATTAGTTGGGATAATAAATCAAGGGTTGTTCCTTGGAAGAGTAAATCAGAAACATTGATAAAGCTGTGGCAAATCTAATGAGGGGAAAAGGAAATACGTTTTAATAATAGAAATGAGAAAAGGAATGGGATTCTGAGTAGAGAGGATAATATTCAACCCCAAGTGGAAATATTACTTCAGGAAAGGAGGGTTTCTAATAGAGAAGTATGAATCAGGCTGAGCAAAACCTTTCTGATAGAAAAGTGTGAATCAGGCTGAGCAAAACCTAGGTTAGTAAAGAAAATGTAAATGATTGCCTCAATAGATATTGTAAGCTATCCAATAAAACTAAGCAATTTTCTTTAAAAATTCTAAAGACAGAAATTAAGCAGTATGTGCATTACCTTTAATGGTAAAGCATTTCTCACTAAAACCAAGAACAAGAAAGCTCATTTACATATCACTGTTTGGAAGTTCGGGCCAATGCAATATGGTCAAAAATAATTAAAATTGGCAGGAAGGCACAGAGTGTACATAGTGGTATCAAATAAAAATTAACTTAAACTAAAAATATGCCATGTTATTGGTGAAAAGATAAACAACGAAAACTTTTTTTTTCAAAAAAGCATTTTATTACTATAATTGCTATTTTACTTACAATTTTTGGCAACATTAACAAAATAATAAATTTTATCTGAAAGAACAAGCAAGCAAAATAGACATGGAAATTCACAAAAGGCAATAACAAAATAGTAATCTTGACAGATATTCAATATATTTGTAAACAAAACAAAGTGACATTGCCTTAAAAAAATATAGAGGTATCAATAGAAAAACAGAGAAAGCTCCTGAAAGAACTCAACTCACTATATTCATTGTCTTTTGGTTGCAGGCACAGAAATTGACTCAAGCTAGCTCAATTCTAAGGTAAGCAAAGCTTTTGATGATTATCTCTTCCTGGCTTTTTGTGAAAACCTAGGAAATTTAACCAGATTGGAGAGGAAAGAAGGAGTGGGGAGGCTTAAAGTGCCTTTAGCAGGGAGGAGGAAAAAGGTATCATTTCATTGTCAGTATCTTTTAAGAACATTGGTGAAGCTCAATAAACTAAAGAAGTGTCAAAACAATTAAGCGAGGTAGCAAGTCATGCAGGCTTAGGAGATGAGCATTCTAAGAAAGAAAGCAACAATTGCAAAGTCTTTGGAACAGGAAAAAATATGATTTGCTTGAAAAAAAAAGCAAGGCCAATGTGTCAAAAACAGTGCACCAGTGGGGAAAATGGTAGAGTAGCATGGCAGAGAATGGAAGAGCAAGAGGAGGTAGACAGGGGTCGTATCACTCAACCTGTAGTTGGCAATAAATAACAATTTGTACTCTTTAGGGGCATACTTTAGTTAAATAGCAAACAACAGTTAACAGTGTTGATAATACCAAGCAACCACAAAAACAAAGAACTAAAACATTTCATATTTTTACTGTTTTCAAAAACAGAATTTGTTATACGAACAGAACAAGGGAGACAAGTATGCAGAGGTCTGCATATCTATACACAGAAGTTTCCACCTGAGACTAGAACAACTGTGCGTGCACACGCACACACACACACACACACACACACACACACACACACACAGACTCTCTCTCTCTCTCTCTCTCTCTCTCTCTCTCTCTCTCTCTCCTTCTCTCTCCACCTAAAACAGGTTCAGGCTGAAATATTAACAAAGTGCCTCGGCCCAAGCAAACTAACTGAAAAGGCCTAGTAAAATGTTCAAAGTGCAAATCAATCAATCATTGACCAAATAAATACAACAGAATCTACACTCAGGAAGTTCTCTAAAACATGGACAGTATACTCACAACTACTTTGTTATCTGTAGTCCTTCCTCCCCAATTCTAGAAGGGATGCAAAGCCCCTGATGACTAACCATTCCCAGCTTTTTGTAAAGCTTAGGGAATTTAACAAGACTGAGGAGGGAAGAGGGAGGAGAGATAAGATGCTTTGAAAGAGGAGAAAGCAACAGAAAACAGGAAAGACTTCTCCCAGCTCAGGTCTATAGACAGCATCCTAGGTTCCTTAAGTGGTGCACAGAGGCTTGTAGGTACCTGAGTCAGAGGTGGAAGAAAGAAGGGACAGCACTGGAAAATGCCCAGGGACACTCAATCCTGGGAACCCACAGAAGTAGTCAAGGGTGTTGATGTTCAGGAACCAATACTCAGATGGCACTCCAGTTACATAAGAGTCCTTGGAAATGGCAAAGGGAAAAGGTTCACAGTATAGTCACAGATTAGGCAGTTAGCCAGCTGAAGGACAGGAACTCTAAAACGTAATACTTAATGAAATTAATGGGACATTTCTTGCACATAAGAGTGTGGCAAGGAAGTCCCAAACTCACATTAGTTTGATAAAAAGGGAAACTATACACACAAGAGAGTAACTGTTAGCTGTAATACATTCATGTCCAAGGCAAGTTACAAACTTGCAAATTTCACATGTTCAACAGGGGTAAGATACATGTACATGGGAAAATACCAGGAAAAGCCCTATACTGGGTTTAATTTTACTCAGTCACCATGGGTTACTACTTTTATCCACTGTACTTACTATTCTTGGGCAACTCCCATTCCAACTTAATAGTAAGAGAGCTAAATTTAGCCCAGTCCTTGAACTAGGTAGATACCATTTGTTTAGCTCTTTTCAGTTCAAACTGTGGGTCTAGTGCAGTTCAAACTATGGATGTCTGGGCTTCTTTCCCTGGGGAAACTTTATTTTCTGTACTGCTGCAGCTGAGAGGTATATGGCTAATTTATACCGACCAAAGGCCAGCCAGACGAGAACAAACTGAATTCCTCTTTGGATCACTCAACTGGAGCTTCAGACTCTAGCCCCCAATCTATTCATTACCCCTTCTTCTCCATTTGAAGCCAATTGACACACAGTAATTATTTCATGTCTGCAGGAGCCCCTTGCCAAACATCCGCGTTTTATTTTAATACTTTTGCTTCCTTGGATGTTCTTGTGCTAGGAAGACACTCTGAGACTGTTCTTTCTTTCTGCCTTGGCTCCTAGACTGGAGTGAGCGAGTGTGTGTGTGTGTGTGTGTGTGTGCGCGCGCGCACGCACTGGCACACCTCTCCCTCAACCAGAACAAGGAGTCTCCACTGACTAATCTTCCAGTTTCTGATTCCCATTCATGACATACCTTCTTCAACTTCACCCTCATGCTCTCAGAGACCGATTATTTTAAACCAGCACAAGAGAGACACTTATAGGGGCTCAGCAGCAAATGGGACCATGTTGTAACAGTTTACGTTGTAACAAAGTCATATCAGTCTGACTAGAGTTAATATTGAAATCCTCAAGACATGGAAAAAGTTGAAAATAAAATTAAGTACTTAAAGAACTCTAGATTCTATCTGCAGAAGTTAGAGCTTTCAAACTTACAAGTAACATGAAATATCAAAATAAATAGGTTTCCACTTTTTTTCTCTCACACACACATACACACACAAAACACCTTTTATATGTTAAGCCAGATACAGTTACACGAAAGCCAGGTAATATATTTTAAATAACATCTCAAATTCATATCAGACAGCACTGTATTTCATGAATTTAAAAAGAAACTCATAAATAACTCATTGGTTTCACTATGTTTGATGCTACTGAATAATGTATGGTTTGTATTTTTTATTTTTATAGGGTTTTTGACTTTGATTGAAATACCTGCTTTAGATTTACTGAAACTCGAATTAACGAGGTTTTTTGGAAACTTTACTCTTAGACCTGGGGGGTGACGGTTCAGAATCTGACGTGCTCACAGTAATGGATGCTACTTCCAATGATTCTGGGTGAAGAGGTCCCAGTGACACTTGAATAACAACTTTTGTTTCAGGAGGCAATCCTTCCAGTTGCTTAGGCTTCTTAAACATTTGATGACACTGGGTCTTGTGCTCCATTTTCTCCTTGAAAGTTAAAAACTGTAGCCGGCATTTGGAACAGTGGTGAACACTCTTTTCCCAGTGTCCCCTATAATGACACATGTATGGTGTTGCAGTTTTGAAAATTTTGAGACAGAATGGACAGAGCAAGTTCTTAGTGTTTTCATGGCAAGTTCTGAAATGTGTTTCCACATCAGCAAAGGCTGATGATCTGTAATTGCAAACCTGGCACACATAGGGCATTTCACCAGGCTTATGATTGTCCTTCATGTGCTGTAAGAGAATTTGGTCTGTTTTGAATGACAATTCACAAATTCTACAGACAGTGGAGGGCTCCTGGGTAGTGTGTACACTTTCAATATGGCATTGCAGCTGGAAGGGAGTGGGAAACTGTCGGTGGCAGTGCTGGCAGGTGGTGTAACTTTCCCAGCTGTCACCCCTCTGCTTCTCAAGTTCCAAATGGTGTTTCATGTGATTCATAAACTTGACATTCTTTAGAACTTTCAAGCAGCTGAGGCATTTAAAGGTTGTGTGAGTCTTCTGTTCTGGCTGTCCATCTCCTTTATGCTGCCCATAATAAAAGTCACGAAGTAATATGACCAGACTTCCTTTCTTGGGATCAACAACCTGGTTTTGACTTGCTAGTCTCAAAAAATCTGTTTTTGCTTGTCTATTTTCCTTAACAGGATCTGCAGGGTTGAAATGAACACTGTCCTTTGGAAAAGCTGTTGGAAAAGGTGCTCCATTCTGAACATGGCTTAATGAGGTATGAACACTGTTTGAGGGTGTGCTTTGCTCAGCAGTCACTGTATGAAAGATACCTGAAGGGGACAAAGCTGAAGCATGTCCCCCTATGATTCCATCACTGAGTTTAAGCCTTTTGGGATTTACATTGTTTACTTCAGCAGTAGAAAGTTGCTTTGATATGCAAGGACTTTTATTCATACCTCCTACAGAAAGTGCTGCTCCACCTGGATGCTGCAATGAATTTGTGAATGTAATCAAAGGAGAAGATAACTCTGAAGAGCTATTAGGCACGACTTGTGGTGAATTACTTTTATAATCAGGTTTAGACAAAGGCTCAATAATAATAGGACTTTCTGTTGATCTTGATTCAGATTCAGAAACAGGCAAGGCAGTCACTGCTTCTGATACAGGGGTCACATGACTTATAGGCTGCAATTTGCAAGTAGTACCTTTTCTGAGGTGACCATACTTTTTTCTCCTTGAACATGAACCTGGGGTGACTCTGTTCAAAATGTTTGAAACGACTGGTTTTGAATTTGAAGTCACCCCAACAAAGATCAGCTCAGCATCGTCATTTACATGTTCTACCCCAACAAAGATCAGCTCACCATCTTCATCATCTACCTGTTTGGTTTCTTCTATGTTCTGCTGCGGTTCTGGCTCTTGTTCTTCCTCACATAATATACATGGTTGTTCCATTTTCTAATTTTTTTTTTTTTATTCTTGAAGGTGTGGCCTCAAGTCCCAGTGTTTTCTTTATATAAATTGCCACCTAAGTACAAACATACTACACATCAGTAAGTACAGAAAAATTCATTACCTTATTTCTCTCCAAAACCCTAAGGTAGTTATAAACACTCTGATTTTATAGATAAGGACATTAAGACTCAAAGGATAAATTACAGCTTAAAAGCTACTGTTATAAGTCTGTGCAGCTCCAGAATCACAGCTTTGCTGATTATGATTTCTTCTATTTAAAAAAGAGGAAAAACTTCTAATAACTAATCTCTAGATAAAATCACATGCAAAGGATACACTACTTTATAAAGGCACCACTCTGCAGTGTATAGAAACACGGGCTTTGGAGTCAGAAAGAATTAAGTTGAAATTCTAAGTCAGCCATAAACCAGCTGCATCTTTCTTTGGCAAGTTCAAAACTTTTAAATGTGTTTCTGTATCCTAAAGGCAAAAGTTCTTATTTCTGGGGTGCCCAGCTGGCTCAGTCAGTGGAGCACACAACTCTTGATCCTGTGGTCATGAGTTCTAACACTGGCTATAGAGATTACCAAAAAAAAAAAAAAAACTGAATAAAAAAAACTTAAAAAAACAAAAAGTTCTTACTTCTCTGACTTAAGGCAATAGCTCGTTTTAAAAAGCATCAACCATTCAATGGCACCTTTTTTTGTAGCAGAATTGAAGAAAAGTTTATATTAAATGAACATCTCAATTGATTCATACATACTAACTTTATAAATATTAATACAGAAGTGTCAAATTCAAAGAACAGAGTAGGAGGACCTACACACAATCAACAAATTGTATAATTCAGTGTCAAATGCTTATCACATGCCTTAGCAAATTAGGAATGAACTCTCTTGATAACCTCATCCCACTTCAAGGCCTTATAGTCTGTTCACTGATGTGTCCTAAATTTATCCCTCTAATCCTGACTTCCCCACTGAAGTCTCTTCTCCACATGGCAGGCAAAATGATTCTGTTCAATCAGATTATATCACTGCTCAGCTCAAAACGCTCCAATGGCGGGGCACCTAGGTGGCTCAGTCGGTTAAGCGGCCGACTTCAGCTCAGGTCATGATCTCACAGTCTGTGAGTTCAAGCCCCGCGTCGGGCTCTGTGCTGACAGCTCAGAGCCTGGAGCCTGTTTCAGATTGTGTCTCCCTCTCTCTGACCCTCCCCTGTTCATGCTCTGTCTCTCTCTGTCTCAAAAATAAATAAACGTTAAAAAAAAAAATTAAAAAAAAAAAAAAACACTCCAATGGCTTTCTGGTTTGCTCAGTAAAAGGCCAAGTGCTTCCAATGCCTGTAAAACCATGCTTCCAATCCTATATACTGCTCCTGTAGTTATGTCCTACTCCTCTCCCCTATCTACTCACTCTAACCACACTAACCACCTTGCTTTTTCTTAAACATATTAAACACTTTACCTTGAGCTTAGAGCCTTTCATTTGCTGTCCTTCTAATATGCATGCTCCTCACCCAGATACCTGCATGGCTAGCTCCTCACCATCTTCAGACTTCTGTTCCAAGTCTTCTCAAAGAAGTTCTCAAATAATCCAACCAGCTGCTAATTCACATTCCCAATCTCTCTTCCATTCCCGTCACCTTCAAGTCCTTATCACCATCTAACACATTATTAACTTTATCCATCTTGATTCTTTTCTACTCCCTACCGAGTAGAATGTAAACACCAAAGGACAGGGATGGTCTTTTGTTGACTACTGTACCCCCAGCACAAAGAACAGTACCTGGTACAACATGGGAGTTCAACAAATACAGAATTTGTTAAATGAGTTAATGGTAACTTTCATTAACAAGAACCTTTTTGGTAGAACAGACTGTATGTACTCCATTACTTCCACATTTTCTATGATTTAGTTGGAGAGCCTTGTCCATGTTAGATATTCTGTGGGCCAATGAAGGATTGAAAACTGCTAGCTTTTTACAAACATTTTTTCCTCACAGCCCATAGTAAAAAAAAATAAATAAATAAATAAATAAAAAAACAATGTATACAGAATCTCACTACACACATATAAATAATAATTGTTTTACTAAATGGAATGCTTATTCTAATATTTTCTATTTTTTTTAATTGACCATGACCCACAAAATCAATTATGACTCATCAATGGCTCACTACCAGTGGTTTGAAAAACACTGGTTTTAAATTATGATTCATAAACTCACCAACTTCTGAAAACATAATGTCAGAATTCATTGTAGCCCAATATGGACACTTCAAATCCAATCTATAAAAATTAAATTGGCATCTAATACATGTCATGTACCCCTCATTAACTTAATCAGCACATCAGCATATAATTTTGGAACACATAGATATTTAATCTTGAAATGTGTATACCCACTTGGAAATAAGTCAAAAAGGAAGTAGAATATTAAGTAGAATAAAAATTACTTATTCTTTTCTACACTTATTTCACAATTATATTTTGCTTGCCCAACCTGGTCTGGTCTGACACTACCAAGTACTAAGAAGAAAAGTGATGAATGCATGAAGCTTACAGTCTAGTGTGTCATGAATAGTGATTACAATTTCTTAATTTCTTTTTTTTATGTTTATTTTTGAGAGAGAGAGACAGAGTGCGAGTAGGGGAGGGACAGAGAGAGAGGGAGACAGAGGATTCAAAGCAGGCTCTCAGCTGTCAGCACAGAGCCCAACGCAGGGCTCGAACCCACTATCTGTGAGATCATGACCTGAGCCAAAGTCGGAAGCTCAACCAACAGAGCCACCCAGGCGCCCACAACTTCTTAATTTCTTAAAACTGAGACCAAGTATGTAATTAGGAGATATGCTAATGCAAGAAAACATAGAAGTTTGAAAGCACTGCTCTTTAATCAATGAAAATTGGTTTGGTATGTCTATATTCAACTTCAATCATCTAACTCCAGGATAATGCCACCTAATCCAGTGTTTCTCAACCTAAGCACCACTAACATGTCTGGACCAGATAATTCTTTGTGGGGGAGAGGAGTGCTGTTGCATGCATTTAGGATGTTTAGTAGTATCCCTGACCTCTACTTACTAGATGACAGTAGCAATCCCTACATGTCCAATCAAAAATGTTCTTATGGGAGGGATGCCTGCATGGCTCAGTTGGTTAAGCATCCAACTTGGGCTCAGGTCATGACTGCACCATTCATGAGTCTGAGGCCCATGTGAGGCTCTGTGCTGACAGCTCATAGCCTGGAGCCTACTTCGGGTTCTGTGTGTATCTCTCTCTCTCTGCCCCTCCCAGGCTTGCTCTCTCTCTCAAAAAAAATAAATAAAAATTTAAAAAATAAATAAATAAAAAATAAAGCCTAGAAAAGTTTATACTTTTACTTAAAGTTACCTTAAAGTAAGGTCTGGAGACAGCACTAAAATTCATGATTCCTGAATTCTAGTTCTGCGTTCTCCCCATGAGAACTCTGACTTAATTCATGTCTGAATTTCTGGTGATGTTGCTATTAATTGCTTAGTCCCTAAGAATCAAAGAGTCTCACTGGATTCATTTTTATTCTCCTTGTATTTTATAAAAACTGTTCAAACCTCCCCAACCTCCATCAAATTACTCAAAGAAGCTTCTTCTAAGTGGTTCTAAATAACTTTTAAAGCATTAGTCTTTCTAACTACCTTTCATTTCCATTCTTATTAAAGCACCTCCCCACAATTTCTATGTTTAGGTCCACTGGTTACTTCATGTTTTTACATCTGCACTAGGCTCCAAATTGTCTGGTCTCTCTGTCCTTCAAATTATGACCAGTTCCATACCACCACTAGATGAATCTTAAAACACCTCTGTAATTATATCACTCCATTATTCCTACATGTTAAATGATTCCTCCAATTCCAGAGAATACATTTTAGGTTATGCTACATGCTGAACTGTGTCCCTCCAAAATTTCTATGTTGAAGTCTTTTTATTTTTTTTTCAACGTTTTTTATTTATTTTTGGGACAGAGAGAGACAGAGCATGAACGGGGGAGGGGCAGAGAGAGAGGGAGACACAGAATCGGAAACAGGCTCCAGGCTCCGAGCCATCAGCCCAGAGCCTGACGCGGGGCTCGAACTCATGGACCGCGAGATTGTGACCTGGCTGAAGTCGGACGCTTAACCGACTGCGCCACCCAGGCACCCCTCTATGTTGAAGTCTTAACCCCCAGTGTGATGGTTTCTGGAGATGCGAACTTCAGGAGATAATTAAGTTTAGATAAATCATGAGGGTGGGGCCCTCATAATGAGATTAGCGCCAAGAAGAGCTATTAGAGAACTTGCTTCTTCTTTATCTCCCATCCACTGTGTGAAGACAGAGTGAGAAGGTGGCCATCTGCAAGCCAGAAGGAGGGAAGCCAATCAGCTGGCACCTTGATCTTGAATTTTCCAGCCTCCAAAACTATGACAAATCAAATCCTATTGTTTAAAAAAAGTAAAAATAAACTAGGTTCCAGTAACAATGCCAGACTTTCCACCCAACTGATCTTGGAAGGAGTTTTAGCTGTTGACCATGCTGATTAACTTTCCAATCATTCGAGATGAAAAGTTAAGAGAAAGAATCAGACCTAAAGTGAATAAACTAATGAATGAGTTCATTTAGAATAAGAATTACATTAGACCATGGGAATTTTCTTATCATTTCTCTTCTGGTGTCTTTATTTTCTATTTAGAAACTTAAGATACTGGGGTAGGAAAGCTGGACATGCCAAAGACCTACTACATCTAACGAGTTAATCCTCAAAAATCACTTCATATCCCCCATCAAGGAAGCTGCCAAAAGCTGTAGGAGGAGTTAATAAGAAGATTTCATGCCAAAGATAGCGGAGAAAGCAGTAGGTGATAGATAACTCATCTCCTAGGTTATTCCTATGAATTTTAACAACAGCCCTTTTAGTGGATCTTTGTTATAGCCACACACCAGCTTTTTTAAGGCACCAGTCTTTCTTGAGAACCTTCTTGAGAT